GACTCTCTATTACAAAGATCGGCAACTTCCACATGACCATCTTTAGCACAGACATCCATCCATCAGCTTCAGTGAAGGCACTGGGCGTACTCCTCGACCACCAACCCATTTGGGAACCCACATCTCCTCTCACGTTCGGCGCCATAATGCAATCCTCGTGTCCCTGTTCAAAATTCGACATCACTTCACTCTGAGGTTCTGAAGCTCCTTGTCCAAATTCATGCCCTCCGCCACATACTCTACTGCCTGTCTATCTGGGTGGAGCGGCCGAGAGTCACCTAGACAAGGTGCAAAGGGCGATGCACTTCGCAGCCAGGCTAGCGAGTGGTGTCCACCGCAGCGACCACACTGCACGTCCCCGCATCTCCGACTACACTGGGTGCTCCACTCGTGAGGCGTGTCGAGTCTTCCCAACGTCGAACTCGGGCTGTTTCGGGCGGTGTCGGCTAGCTTCATCTATCACGCGTCCGACTGACCACCACCCGGCGGCATTTTCCGCACCGCGCCGCCGCCGCGTGGAACCGGCTGCCTGCGGCGGCCGTCCGCGCCCCCTCGCGGCGCATTCTTGACAGCTTGAAATCAATGACTTATTGACTGAAACTGCTTTCACATATGCGAGTATGTGCATCTCTGTGTACTGCGTGTGGGTTTTTTGTTGTACAACTTGACGCAGAACAACCCCTACGTGGATGTACCTTCGATAAAATAACTATTTGTAACACGGCGGCCTTTCTCGAGACGCACTGGCTCTGGGAAACAGAGTATGACATGCTCTTAGTTCAACGCTGGCTCAAAACTCAACCATAGCAATGCTTGGTAAATGGCCTCGGGCGTTCGTCATGGGACTCACAAAGGCTCGTTAGTATAGGCATCATTCATACTGATGGAGGTACCAATTTTGAGCCCTCAGGCCCGTGATGTGCGGGTTTAAACAGCTGAAAAGAAGTACCTCTAGTCAGTGGCTGCTGACGACAGCCCTTAGCAGATTGTCAAGTCTTTGCACGTACCCAGCCGTACATCCAAAGCTCGAAAGCAACGCGTTTGAACCACCAAATCGACACACGAAGTTTGCGGATTGTGTCCTAGTCATGACGACGCCAGTTGTCGTGGCGACGGCAGTCGCGACAGTTGCAGCTGTCGCAGGTTAGGGCTACACTCTGATGCTACCAAGAAATAAATATATCGAGTGCTGTGGCAAGACGTTGGCAGCGTCATCTGGACTAGAGTATAATCAAAATTATTCTCCATTCCGCCATCGCCGTCATTCAGGGATCGCTGGTGGTGCGACCACGGCTCTTTAGTTTCATCCGAAATCAATGCCTATCGCATTTCTTTCAGTTGGTTCTAATCACTCAAATTGGGTGGGGGGGGGGACCCAGGGTTGAGAAAGGGTCCCTGATAGTGAAAGGGTTTTTCCCCAAAAAAACAAATCACCGGATTAGACCCACTCGATTTCGAGCGGCGCGATTTTTCCGTTTTGCCTTTATATTCAACTTCTTTAAGGTGATTGTTCCACACCTGCAGGGGCTCTGAACTGAGATGGCCGTTTTGAAAATGATTTCGTGCATTTCAGAGCCCTGCCCTCTTGACACTGAAAACCCTGTAGCTTAGCTTGACACGCGTAAATTTGTTGAGACTGTTGTGCAGGCTATCCCAAGGTCATCCAGGCTTGGATGATGCTATACAATCATTACGTGAATACTGGCACCTCATTGGCCATGTAGTGCTCAAGGCCAGTAACAAATATGATCGTCGAGTTATCTGGCGTAAGCCAGCGCTATTTTTGGCGTTGAGGATTCAGCTGCCCTTAGTCAATGTAATGCGTTGAGAGCAAGGTTCGAACACGATTCACGTTTTGTGCTACGTACTACGGGAAGTTGGGCAGTGGTACGATTCATGACGGAGATAAGACCGGAGATCGAATAATTTAAGAGCAGCGCTGCAACCGAGCAGGTGGTTAAAGGGGCGAGCAAATATAACTTGTGACGGGTTTATATGCAAGAACACGACGAGAAAGAGCTGAAACACAGCGTGTGGCGATATTCGGTTCCACAAACACGCTGCAGCAACACATCGCCACCTCTCGAAAAGTTGAAATATTACATGTGAATCAGCCAGTCAGCTACAGTGCCAATTCTGATACGGCCAGTCTGGCGGCGACATGACGTCACAACGACGTTCCATAACGTAATCAAGCGATGGCGTATTGAATAACATTTATTAAATAGTGAAATTGTCTAAAGCAATCTTCAACACATAAAAGCAGACCAGTGGTTATAAGAGAGATTATTTCATCAGATCTGATATGATAATTCCCCAACGTGTTCAAATGTGGAACATTCCCTAAAACTATCCGACATTACCATCCGGTTGTAAAATTGGTCAACAGTATAACTTTTCGACGAAGTTTTAACGAACAACAATGGTCGGCACGGTAAACCCTGCCCCCTGACCTCACCTGGCCTTGAAACAGAAGCCGTGGGACATGCAATGCTGCTTCTATTTTGAAATCAATAAAGTCTAGGAAGCGGGTGCTATTGGACTGAATACAATAAACCACCGACGCTTTTCATTTTACGGTAGCTGAGCACACTCTTTCTAAGCCGACAGAACTCAGAACTTTGAACTAGACTAGACTTAGAAGAAAAGCGCCATAACCAAGCAGGTGAATACAAGTAAACAATATAAAAGCACAGGCTTATGTGCAAGAACACGACGACGAAGAGCCAAAACACGGGCACACGGCGATATCCGATCCCCCAAACACGTTCTAATTACACACTTCCACCTGTCGCCAAGTCGCCTAAACTTTGAACTTAAACTTAAGCAAGAACTTTGCAAACATTTTATTCTGGGTTTTGCAGAGGTGTCGATGACGCCATGAACACTGACTGTAGATCGAAATAATGCGGTCAAAAATTTGTTCCAACTTAGCCTACCAAAGCTGGCCTGGGAATGTGCAGCCTTATTCAGAATCGATGAGGGAAAATATTTGTGACATAGCTGTGCACATGCCCGCTCGCAAGTATTCAAACAAACCCCGATACCTGACGTTGCAATCTCCGTAGGCCGTGCGGCGCCAGTCCCTCGGCTAACACAAAGTGGTGGTCAGTGACCGGACGAAAAAATGATGACGCATCAGAAAGACGCGCAGTTGGACGCTTTAAGACACCAATTTGTACGTTTAGTAGGCAATTCTAATTAATATTTCACCTGTGCAATTGCCATATTTATCAAATCAACGGATTGCCATTTTAGCACCGGGAATTGGGGCTGGAATTTGGTGATGAAACTGGAAGAGCAAAGGTATAATCTCTATTTTTCGTATTGCTACAACTGCTAATCTGCTCAGAGGACAGCCTCCAAATCCAACGGTGAAATATACACCCCAGTTTTATTTTTTAAGGGAACGAATTGATATAAATCCACTTTCGGAAGCACTATTTCACGCCGGTCGTTCTCGTGCGCCCGCCGCCCGCCGTCTGGTATGATCTGCACCGGCCAATGCTGTTCGGTTTTAGGTAAACTACACCCCGGCTATCGGTGTTCTTGCTCCTAAGATTGCGAGCGCGCAAACTGATAACCTTGTATGCAGTTTGTTGCACTAGTCGATAACTGAGAAGATGGGCGTCCGCGGACAAACATGACATGGCATTTTTCGTCTTTGTCTTTGCATTGAATGCTTTTTACATCGAATGCTCTTTACATCGATGCGTCATTCGTGTTACAAGTCAAATACACATCTTAAACATGACTGCAGTAAATCCGTCGCTATTCCTGGAGCAGTCATCAGGCTCTAGAAAAGCGACGAACGGTGCGGCCGGTCGAGCTGATAACGTTGCCATAACCCGAATCAGCTTCTCTGGAGCGGCGGCGGCCGGTCAGCCAGTCGGCCCCGCGGGCCGCTGCACCTGCTGCCCGGCTGAAGAGAAGAGCGCCGCACACGTCCCAGCGGGCTAAAAACAACCGGCCGATCGTTGTCCACTGCTCGACACGCTCACCAGAGTCAAAATAAATAATTCAACGTGTCCTTTAAAAAAATCAGCTGATGCGCCGAGGTCAAAAGACTTGCTCTCAAGCATAGCGCTTAATTCGACGTATGGGCAGTCCGCTATTTGTGGACTCCGAAAAAGCTTTTTAGCGGTTTCGCGGTCTTGCAACTTTTGTTTGCTTTGAAAATATTGTTCGAAACATATCTCGGAGACCATAAAGCGTTTTTTCGTAATGACGTTAGCAATGATCTCACTATAACACAAAGCCACGGGACTCGATCCCATTAGTTTTCACGGCGTAAGCAGAAACATAGCTGCCTCACCTACCCTGTCCAACACAAATCTAAACTTCTCCCCTGGCTTCTCTCTCCATCCTTGCAGGAGCCTGACGCAGATAACGATGCGTTCTGCAGCCTCCGAAACGTCCACGCCATTGGCCTTGACTGCGTGGGCGACTGGTCGCACCACAGAGGTCGCAGCTTCAAGCGCCTACAGTGCCGTCAGAAATTCTGAAGAAGCGGTTGCACGCATCAGTCCCTGCGCGTTCTTCCGCGCTTCTGAAAAACGCGCTCATCTTCGTCAGGCAATGGGCCACTGCTGGCAGCAACTGGCAGATACACGTCACTGCCCCGTGACGCTCCAGACAGCGCGTAACGCAGAGCGTGATAAGTGTCTCCCGGCTTTCTTTGGGCACGACTATCTTGACCTTTTTCAAGGCTCTGCCGCGCTTTCCGTGAATGACTAAGGTGGTGATGTCTTCTACGATATCAAGCCATTCTCGAATGTCTTGCTGCTTGCAGCTGGTACTGATGCACGACTTAAGTACATACATCGAGCGGTGACAAACTCGCAGAGGTCGTTGTCGCGTTTGAGCTCAGCTGCTGCCCCCACAGCTGACTGGCCATGGCAGTAGCTCCACCGAACCCGCAGCTGATCACATTCCTTAAGCCGTTCACCAATCCGGGGTATGCATGTTCTTCAGAATGACACTGCTGGTGTTGACTTCACTCATCTTGTCTCGTACACATCATCGTCCTCTTCCTCCACGCTCTCGTCATCGTCGTTGTCGTCGTCGTCGTCGTCTTCGTTGTCGTGTTTGGAGCAGCAAGTGTCAATCTCTTCGAGCAGACCAACGAAGCGAACAGGATCATCGTGAATGTCCCGAAGTCCATCCTGCTAGGATGCGCACCGAAGTACCATTGCCATCTGTTTGCATCCAGCTCGGTCAGTTATTCCACCCATCAATACACTGAAGAAGCTGTCTCTCGCCGTTCGTCTGAAGCAATTTGTGATGCAGGTGGCGGCGCAGTCAGGTACATCGATTTGGGCATATTTGGAGATGTGGGTCGCACTGCTTGGTGATGTCTCAATGTGTCTTTTGAGGACGCCGTCGCTGTGCCGCATGATCGACAAAAGGATGTTTCGGATGCTACCGTCGTTGTTTGGCGGCTCTTCCTCCTCCGCGTTGAGACAGCCGTCGTCCCGGTGTCCTGTCCTGGTGATGTGTTGGCGGGTACACGTCAGGGTGGTGTCGATGATGGGCTGTGACGCGGCATGATTAGTATTGATCTCTGCTAGTCGCGCTCTGTCCACCTGGTTCCTCGCGTCACATTCTGCATTCTCCCCAGTTCTGGCCAGAGCTCAGGTGCTCGTTACTGATAGCGACGATAGAAATTACTATGCAATGCCTTTCCGTGGCAGGGGGATACTATCATCCTTTGGGGGACGCCGCCCGCTTCTGGGGCACCAACGCATGGTTTGGGTGGCAGGTGAAGTTTTACAAAATGTTATCATTTAGTATTATTTTGTATTTTGAAGCGCAAAGGCTGCACAGAGAGCCCCGCGACGCCTGAGCTGGCAGTGTGCTTTCTGTCATCACGCTATGCTCGATGCGCCATTTTTTAGCCCCAGGGCACATGTTGTCGCGGTGGTGGGACGGAATTCCCCCACTGAACTACCAGAATGTTAGGCTCAGCGTGACGTGCGGGAGCGAATCTTTGTATCGTATCAGCGTGGTTCACGATGAAGCTGAGTTACCGGCAGCACACAGGCGGGAGTTTTATCCTCCGACGTATTCGATTTCCCTTGTCATACTAGGCGCCACAAGTTCCCTTACGCCGCACGGGAGCCTATGAAACTGTAATGTCTTGTCTTGAAACTTGTGTGTCTTGTGTCATGCATGTCTTGAAGCCTGAATTTCCCGAAGATAGCACGTATGTATTATTCAAACACCATGGGCGTCCATTCGAAGCACCAAGGACATCCAAGGCCTCCTCTGGGATCCTTACGGTGCCCTTCTATTTTTAGGACCTTCTTATCGCCCTCGTGACATTCAGGCCTCCGGCACACCCTTTTAGTACCCCGAGAGCGCCTCTCCATAATTTGGGCCACAATGTCTTTCTAGAGTGTCCTTCTGGCCCGATTGACCATTTTCAGATCCTAGGGTGAGTCGTCCGGGTATTGCCTGTGCTTTTAAACATTGGACATATTGCCAGACCCCAGGGACTCACTTTGAGCACTCGAGACGTGTGCTCAAGATTGTGTCCTTTTGTTCCTTAAGACGTCTTTCTAGTCATCAAGACACATTTTCAAACCTCACCGGTGCTGTAGGAGCCCAGGTGGTGACGCTTCGGAAATTCGGACACACTTCTGTTCTTAAAGAGGTTCTTTTCACCTTCAGAACATGTTTTCATACGTCAGGAGCCTCCCATTGGCTATCGGGGCGCCCCTCCAGGTTGGGGGGCATCCAGGCTCCAGCACATCCTTCTAGCCTTCGAAGCATATTTTCAGACCGCAGGACCATCTTTGCGGTTGGGGGGGGGGGGGGGCCGGCGCCCCTCTATGATTGACTATGGTTGACGCACCCGCCTATTCTTTGCAGCGTTCTTCTTGCCCTTGGGGCGTATCGTCTCCGGAGGGTGCCCTTCCAGTCCAGGGGATTATGACGTCCCTTTGTTCTTCACCGGATACCTTCTAAGTAGACTTCGGGACATATTTGCAGAACAAATAGGCGCCCTTTCGGCCCTCAGCACGCATTTTCCCCTCCCCCAACGCTTGGAGCACTTTTGGATCTTAATAACCGTTCCGGTCCGTGCCAAAACGGTCCGTCCCAATGGCGGGGGTACGCCTCCCCCCCCCCCCCCTCCCCCTGACACCAGGTGACAGATGGAGAGAAATCCATGCATTCGCACGGTCAGCTGGCGCCACTGCTGCACGCAAACGCCGCTGAGCCTTGAACGCGGACGAAAAGTGTCATACAACCCGACGGGCTGCCCACGAGGCGTGCTGCTGAACCGCACGCCAGACCGGCCTGGGGCGCAACGGCGAATGGTTGCTTACCGGAAGTCCTACCCGGTGCCGATAAATCATAAGCATTTGTACCCATGGCTCGCGCTTCCTTGGAGGCCCGCTAGCAGTCTTACGATGACTCGGCATAACATACACACGGAAAATACACGGAAATCCGCGACCTATCTAAACAATACTGTGGGGACGCGAGGGCTACTGGCCTATCAGATCGGAGGGAGTGGTGCCGTTGCGATCCCTCCTACAGACATTTACGAGCTCACCAGGCCCTCGGAGACGGCCAACTGTTTCCATGCGACGGGCAACAAAGGCGGATGTAAAGAAGGGAGCGAACACCCCAAATGAAGACTGCGTGACAGCTCTGCCCAACAGGGGCGGCACAGCTAGAGAAAGGTCTATTTTCGGACGACCACGTCCGGACCTCCCCAATTGCCACCGAATAATGCAGAACGGTCACCCTGGCCATGCCAACAACCATCAGCACGAGAGCACAGGGAGCCGTTAGGATGGTCGGAGACGGATGTTCCGGAGCCCTGGCCCTATCTACTCGAAGTGCCAGTGGTACTAGCGGCGAATAGTCCCCGCGAGAGACCTCTGGGGCGCGAACTTCTCTATATCGTGGCTCCTTCGAGGACAGAGCCTTGCTCGTCATGGAACTCTCATCTTTCCTGAGCCGATGAACTCCACGTGCATCGCTAGAGCGGCAAGAGCCTGCAGGCGAGGCACTGCTCACAGGGGCGGGCCACAACAGCCAGGGGTCTGAGGCACAGAAAGCGGTTCAAAGGGGCCTCGTTCCCCTCAGAGGTGAGCGCCATGGGCCCTCCAACCTATCTGACAATAGGTGCCGTGCGCTGATGCATTCGACTTGCGTCAGGCGTCATTACTTACTTTTGTTGCGCATCAAGAGAATAATTTTGTCTCCAACATACCCAGTCAAATAGTACACCTTATTATTCCTCCAAAGTTTAAGGAAAACATCACACTTAACACAAGTAAGGGGTCAAATCACAACACAGCTGAAATTGAGGACCAACAGTGTCTGCATAGCCGTCACCGAGTTCGCATGCTCACTACGATGTCTACAATAACAACAAATGACATTCGCTGTGATGCACAGACGTCGCAACGGATACGATATGATTGTGAGTGCGAAGCTGTGCGATGCCAGTGATCCGTGGCGCCACCCACGCTTGTACGGAGCACTGACCGGACGCACACCGTCCGGGATGACGAAATGAACCAGCTGCACGTCCGCCCGTTCACCACACTCCGCGACGCGCGTCACGGAAAACATCGCCGCCTCGGCCACCGGCTGGCGGCGACCGCGACGCGACCTGTCGGTGACCGCGACACGGGCTGGCGGTGACCGCGACGCTGGCTGGCGGTGACCGCGACGCTGGCTGGCGGTGACCGCGACACGGGCTGGCGGTGACCGCGACGCAGGCTGTCGGTGACCGCGACGCTGGCTGGCGGTGACCGCGACACGGGCTGGCGGTGACCGCGACGCTGGCTGGCGGTGACCGCGACGCTGGCTGGCGGTGACCGCGGCGCGCGCACAGCGCCGCCGCTGGCCGCCCCTGAGAGGTGGCGCCCCGCCGTCCACAGTAGGACCGCAGCGCACAACCGCCATCGTCGCCGGCCGACCGGCACCGAGGGCTCGGTCAGTGTGGCGCCAGCTGCGCACCGGCCTGCTCCAGCAGCGCCGCCTGCTGCTGCTGCTGCTGCTGCTGCTGCAGCTGCGGGTGCTGCTGCTGCTGGCTGGCGGGCAGCTGCAGCGCGCCGTGCGCCGACATGCTCAGCAGCTGCTGCCCGTCCGCCGACTGGCCGGCCACCGGCAGGTCCATCACGAACAGCTCCACCATCGGCTCGACGGCCGGCGCCGGCTGCTCGCCGTGTGTCAGCTGGTGCTTGCGCAGGAAGCCCTGCTGCGCGAACGTCTTGCCGCACAACGCGCAGCCGAACGGTCGCGCTACGTCCGCGTGCTGCCGCTCATGCGCGCGCAGCTCGTGCGCCTGGCCGAACTCCTTGCCGCACTGTTCGCAGGCGAACGCCCGCGCGCCGCCGTGCACGCGCCGACCGTGCGCGCCCATCTGGGAGCGCGAGGCGAACGCCTTGCCGCACTCCTTGCAGACGTACGGCCGCTCGCCGGTGTGCGTGCGCAGGTGGTTCTGCAGGTCGCCCTGCTGGATGTAGGACTTGCTGCACTGGTCGCACTGGTACGGCCGCTCGCCCGTGTGGTAGCGCGTGTGCACGGTGAGCAAGGTCCGCGTGAGGAAGCACTTGCCGCACGTCTGGCAGCGGTGCGGCTTCTCGTTGGTGTGCATGATGCGTCGGTGCGAGTTCAGGTAGCTCTGCGAGATGAACATGCGGCCGCAGTCCTCGCAGCAGAACGGCCGCTCGCCCGTGTGCACGCGCCGGTGCACCTTGAGCGAGTCCTCGCGCACGAAGCGCTTGGTGCAGAACTCGCAGGCGTGCGGCTTCACGCCGCTGTGCACCAGACTGTGCTTGGCCAGATCTTCCGCCTGGAAGAAGGACTTGGCGCAGCCGGCGTGCGGGCAGGCGTGTGGCCGCACGCCCGTGTGCGAGACGGTGTGCTTGGCCAGAAGCTCGGACGAGGAGAAGCCGCGGCCACACAGGCTGCACATGTGGCCCTTCTCGCCCGTGTGGATGCCCACGTGCGCCCGCAGCTGGTCCGTTCGCCGGAACCGGACGCCGCAGAACTGCCAACAGGGACAAGCGTTGTTGCTACCCGCTGCTCAGACTGAGCCGGGTGCCCAGCCCCCCCCCCCCCTTTCCCCGGCCTGGCCCGGCACGGTCCGGTAATGCCGCCGCCGGCACGGCAGGGGAGACTTAGCCGGGGTCAAAGTCCCTGGCGACGCCACGGCAAAACAAATACGGGGCGGCGCCCTCCCACGGCTCAGACTCCTCACATTGACACAGCAGCAGAGGCCGGCACACACGGCACAATCCAACTTTGACCCGATACCGATACACTCACGGCGTCATCCGAATCACGCCACGCCGGTCATAACACAGTCCAACTTTGACCTGATACCGATACACCCACGGCGTCATTCGAATCACGCCACGCCGGTCATAACACAGTCCAATCGTGACTGGCACATCGCAACAGCCGGCGCCAGACATCGCCGCTACAGGGCTGCCAGCGCTGACCGCCACTCCGGCCCCGCCCCGTCTACAGGCCCACGCAACGGCCCGGGACGCGGGGGGGCTGCCCCGGCCGGCCGCCGTACCTCGCACGAGTAGGGCTCTTCGCCCGTGTGGATACGCCGGTGTCGCCGCAGGTCGCCGCTCTGCGTGAACATCTTGCCGCAGAACTCGCAGTTGTACGGCCGCTCACCCGTGTGGAACCGCTGGTGGTTCTGCGGTGCGGGGTCACGTGGCGGTCAGGTCAGGTCGGGTTGCCTCAGGGCCACACAAGACCACGCGCCTTACCGTACTCCTCGACTGTGAGCCAGTGGGGGAACGTCCTGTGTGAGGATGAGTTGCATCCAAACGCTGACAAGTTTTCAGCCGCTGATAGTTGTTAAGACGTCATACGACTATAAGTTTTGACACACGCCATATGTCGGACACCAGAATAGGCTGGGAAAATGCGGCGCGTCGGAGCAGCAGCCTCCGGATCTGTCGGTCATTGTCAGTCGTACATTATAGCACGGTGAACAATACTCCGCCTCCATTCTTAGTGCCCGACCGTCATATTTTGCCGGATAGATCAGTCAACACCACTGCCTGGGTATTGCACGAAAACGACAGCATTCATGTCAGACTTGTGACTAAAATGGAATATCACCCGTGCGATCAAACAGATTCGGACCTGCAGTTAGTTAAGACAAGTGCCTCGTTCTGTTTTAGACCCATCTGCCATATACATCTAAGCATTCTTGGTTATCTACACTCCGCTTGCCTGATCCTGGAACCTGAAATTAAAACTACAAACCAGCACATCCTCAGTAGTCCCACATTTCACAACCCACTCTCGGACAGCCGCAGCTTGAGCTCTCCGACCTGAGACAGATTCAGCGCTCAGCAACGTCACACATAAACCCACCTTCAACTCGTCAGAGCGCTTGAAGCATTTGCCGCACTCCAAACACGAGAAGGGCTTTTCACCAGAGTGAATACGGTGGTGCTTGTTGAGATCACCCACTTGCACGAATCTGAAAAGGACCGGCGTCTAACATTAAGCGTGCCGCTGTTTGATGGCGGGTGTACAGGAAATCACAGGCTCAAGTCCAACTCAACAATAAGGTAAAGTTGTTTCAACGGCGTATCGCAAATCAAGGTTGATCTCCTTTGGACATTATGTGTGTGGCCCAGCCAGAAAACTGGAGCCTCTTCGGATTTACAGGTCACACAGCGTTTCGAGTTCTGATGCTGGAAATAACTGACATTTCAATATACCAAGATGCTTAACGAATGTTTTAAACAATAGTCCACGTCAGTCGGTAATCACGATCACGAGTAACCAGCGTCAGCCAGTGATCACGGTTATGAGTCACCAACGTCAGGCAGTGACTACGGCCACGAGTCGCCAACGTGTCAGTGTTTACGGTCACAAGCCACCAACGTCAGGTAGTGATCGCGGTCGCGAGTCACCGACGTCAGGCAGTGCTCACGGTCACAAGCCACCAACGTCAGGCAGTGATCGCGGTCACAAGCCACCAACGTCAGGCAGTGATCGCGGTCACGGGTCACCAACGTCAGGCAGTGATCGCGGCCACGGGTCACCAACGTCAGGCAGTGTTCACGATCACGAGTCGCTAACGGATCAGTGTTCGGTCACGAGTCGCTAACGTCAAGTAGTGATCGCGGTCACGAGTCACCAGCGGTAGGCAGTGATCACGGTCACGAGTCACCAACGTCAGGTAGTGATCGCGGTCACGAGTCACCAACACCAGGCGGTGTTCACGATCACGAGTCAACAATGTCGGGCAACGCTCACGGTTATGAGTCACCAACGTCAGTCAATGTTCACGATCACGAGTCGCCAACGTCGGGCGGTGTTCACGGTCATGAGTCACCTGAGCACAATGAACACTACTGGAAGCATTTCGCGTTCCCTTCGAAATGCTATTTGATCTCTTCGTTTAACCAGTACCTCATGGTATTACTATACTTGTATGTCGATTGTTACCAGCTTAAGAACTCATAATGCCGAAAATCGGAAGCTTAAGGGCTTGCTCACTATTCCAACCCAAGGAGCAGCAACGCACAAGCAAGTGAAAAAGCAAATGGCAACCTTTTCAACGTACCGGTCCAACGAAATACATAGCTTGGGAGGTACGCCGGATCAAAACGAACATGTAATCACTGCACGCAAAACAAAACCCGGGTCCTCTAAACAGCGTCCTGTTTCCTACACAACCCTCGCGTGAACCCGGCGCCGACGCCGAGCGTTTAGCCTGGCTAGGTCAGCTGTGGCAGACGGCGCCGGCGGCCGGTGGCACTCACCCCTTGCCACAGTAGTCGCACACGTGCGCCCGCTCGCCGCTATGGAACTTGGCGTGCACGGCCAGCTGATCCTGAGCACGGAACAGCTTGCCACACTCGACACACTGGAACTTGCGCTCGGCCGTGTGCGCGCGCACGTGCTTCATCAGCTTGGCGCGCGTCGGGTATGCCTTGTTGCAGAACTCGCACACGTTGCTCTTGGCGTCACTGCGGGCAGACCCGGCCGGGGTCACATACGTGACGGGATAGGCACAGACTCGGGTCACACACCACGTGACGGAGTGGGAGCGGGCCCGAGTCACACACCACGTGACAGGCTGGGCATGGGCCTGGCACAGGCAGACGAGGTCCGCAACCTCTCCCGTTTGCCTAATGTTACGCGCAATACAAAACAAACAGAGAGCGCTCCAGCAGTTTTTCAGACTTCTACATTGCATGCCCTCATCGTGGCACGGGTACTGATCGTGGAGCACGTAATATAACAGTGGACACCACCACTGCCTAAATAAGAACAGCTCCACCATTCCCCACTCAGAACCGCTGGTTTCGAACGTCCTCCGCCGCACCACTGTCTCCTGACATCTTCCGCTGGCACTGGTGCGGCAGGGCCGCCGCCGTACTCACTAGTGCACCCGCTGGTGGATGGACAGGCCGTACTTGGTCGAGAACGACTTCAGGCACACGCTGCAGGGGAAGGGCGCGTCCTGCGAGACGCCGGCCGCGGCCGAGTCATCGCCGGCCTCCGAGCCGACCGGCGAGTCGTCCTCGGCCGCCTCGTCCTCCTGCGGTCGTCCAACGGTCAGCACTGAGGGCATGTCTCGCCGCTCCACACGTAAAGACAAGGCGCCGCAGCCAGAGGCTCCTCCACACCAAAATTGTGCTAGCATGGCACGGTTGTGCTGAGATAAAGCGGGCGCCCTGAGAGACCTGTGCGGCCAGCAGAGGGCCTGGAAGGAGCCGGTCTACCATTGGCTGCCGCTCCCGGCCGCCTCTCCGGGTGTTTGCTCGAGATCCTATCCAGACCGGCGGTGTTACCGCACCTTTCCCAGTGCCGGTCCGGTGACGCCGCCCACCTGGTCGTTGTCGGACGGATTGCTGAGCTCCACCACCATGGTGTTGACATCATCGTCCGGCTGTCCGCCTCCCCCGCCGCCGCCGCCATCGCCGCCGTCACCGCCGCCGTCCGTTCCGCGCCGCGTCCGCAAGAACTTGGAGCGCAGGTCGGCCTCGGCCATGCGGACCTTACGCTCGAACTCGTCCACGAAGTTCACCAGGCCCAAGCACGTCTCGCAGATGAACTCGCTGCACTCGTCCACGGCCTCGTTCAGTATCAGCGACAGTCTGGAAAATGGCGCGCCCATGAATACGGGTGCGCATCTGAGGGGCACCATACACGCCAGTTTGGAACAGCTGCCATGCACGATGGCGTAAGGAAAGGCGGGCTGCAGACACAAACGGGTCACGAACCGTTGCCACCAACTGGCTGGTAAACGATCTGGCGACACCATATGAGAACAATGGTGTTCTTCCTATTGGCCACACCACGTGATGTCGGTAGATGGCACTGTGACAAGCAGTCCCATCCGCGCGAAAACAGTCGCAATGTAATCACGCTTTAGTGTGGCAACGTGGCATACAAGAGAGAAAATAAAGCTGGCTGTAGTATGCACAAGCAGTCCTGCATTACACATATGTACTCGGGTTCTAAATACTTTTACATGTGAGGGCAGCTGCAGCATCAGCTTTAGAAGTGCCAGTTTAAATATTGTTCCAATGCCAACACAGTCATATTTTGTACGCCAAATACAGAGCCTACAGGCGAAATATCTCCTTGTTAGCGCTCGCGGCCGCAGCTTGTGCCCCTGTTTATATCCACATTATGTCCCCTGATGCCTTTCTGTTGATTCTCTTGCAAATGACAGTCCTATTAAAAGCATTTTGTCCCATCAATGAAGAGAGGTAAGGGCAAGTTCATGCCAACATTAACTTCCTTATACTTAATCAGTTGCTTAAAAATGCACTCATTCAGTGCAAAGCTGATCATTGCCACAGCGACAGTGGCTTGTAGGTGGCAACCATTCACAAAATAACAGGCACGACATGGCCTTTGTCACAGCAGGTCTTCCAGGGAAAGAGAAATCCCAGACGAAAGGAAGCGAGCCACCGCCAGAACGTAGTGCGCGCAGTCACAGGCGGCAGCCACGCGCCACGAGCGGTCCCACCTCTTGTGCAGCGTGAGGCTGGTCTCCTTGGTGCGGGTGTCGTGCACGTTCCAGGACTTGAGTTCGGCTGAGAGATCGACGCTGCAGACTAGACAGCGCGGTCGGACGGCGGCGGCGGCGGTGGCGGCGGCCTGCGGCGCCTGAGACGACAGCAGTCGCACGCCGTCCAGGCTAACCAGCTCTGACGTCAGCAGCAGCTGATTGCCGCTGACTGGCGTCAGCAGCACGCAGCGACGCGAGTCGGCCTCCAGCTCCTCCATCGCGCTGGACGTCATCCCCTGATGAGATAGCGCAGGAGGACGGGTCAGTAGCAGCGACGCGAGTCGGCCTCCAGCTCCTCCATCGCGCTGGACGTCATCCCCTGATGAGATAGCGCAGGAGGACGGGTCAGTAGCAGCGACGCGGGTCGGCCTCCAGCTTCTCCATCGCGCTGGACGTCACGTCCTAATGAGACAGCGCAGGAAGACGGGTCAGTAGTAGCGACGCGAGTCGGCCTCCAGCTCCTCCATCGCGCCCGACGTCACACCGTGATGAGACAGCACAGGAGGATGGGTCAGTGGCAAAAGGGTGCTTATGCAGCAAACCATCCTTTGTAATTTTTTTTCACTTAAAAGCCTTGTCAAACAATTGACAAGTAATTAATTGGCATGGTAGATACTGCCCAAGTCATGAATGACATAACTGAGGCTTTTGACCAAATTAGTACTGACACTCATTGGGAAATCTGTATCATCAAAGCCATTTCCTGATGGCGTTAACACATGGTGTACACAATCAAATCTACAAAGGTCATGCTTTTCTGTTATGGTCACACAAAAGTATTGTGGTTACAGTTATGGTAAATTGACCTATTGCAAAGGTTTTGAAGTTCATCTCTGGAGCAGTGCCCACACAAGCAATGGAATATCAAGCACCCATGCAAAAGAGTTGTGCTTTACTATCAGTGGAGTCAGAGAGGCAGTTCTGGACTCAAGTAAGTTGTCATATAGGGAGGATAGAATCTACTCCATTAAGGCTCCCTTTGCAGCAGTGCCTGAGCTATGATGACCAAATTATTAGTCAACCAAATGAAACACAACTGTGGGTAATTGGGCACATGAGGCCTGACATATCTATACCACACACATCACATTACCACAAAGTTGTCTTGTTACCAAATAAAATGTCTTTTATTTTCATTGGCTGCTATGATGTCCATATCATAGGCTGAACTTTCACTATTAACTCCAATACAAATGGTTTTTTACTGAGCAATATACCATGAAATCACAATTAATGCTGGTTTAGAGTTCTATTCCCAACATTCTTAGCCTGCTGTGAATTCCAAATGTTGTGAGCAATCCATACCTGGTCCCACCAATCCAGATTCAAGCACAAATCTGATGCATAATAAATCCAACATTGCACCTGCATTTAGAAGTTAACACACAATTTGAAGCTTTCAGTTAGTTGTCTTTATCTTCACTTCTCAGTGACTTTTATGTTGGGCATACAATGAACACTTCAATCAACTAACAGCTAAAAGCTGTCCCAGATATTAAATCAACTGATATGTTCAAAACATGTTAGTGACATTTTAAGCCTAGCTATTCTTTTGATAATTGGGAAAATTGATGCAACAGATGTCTCATTGTATGCAGACAATTAATATGTTTAAGAGCATTATATGGAAGGGTCTGTTCAAGAGAATTGGACCTACCATATAACTAGCTGCCAAATTACAGCAAATATGCTTCAGATTCATATAGCATGTTTTAACTATCAAATCAACACATCATATTCATGAACCAAAGGATGAATCACAGGATGTTGTGAAAAACAACTAAATCATGCAAGTGATCAACCTCACCCAACAACAACCAATACCCAATAACAGTTTCAACTGACACATTGGTATTGTTAGGGCCAGTTGGGGCACTTAAATAACCTATATGTTTTGTTTCCCAGCAATAAGATGCACACCTTAGCTCTGCACCATTTTGCCACCATATAAGCATGGATTTTTCCACAAAACACCTCACAAATATTTTGCTTCAAATGTGAGCATGCCACAGATCAGTGTGCTGGTCACTGAAGTGCACTGTACAACATAAGTTACCTAAGCTGTTATGCCGCAGTACTATCCCATCACTTCCAGAAACACCTGATGACCAGAAACATTTCAGCATTTCACCCAGGACAGAACAGCATCCCTTCATTCCAGACCACAGCAACACATGCAATGGAATAATAACAATAAGGTGGTAAATATTTTTCCACATCACGGGCTCTGAAACCCAATGTACAACCACCGCTACATGTCCTGCCTACACATGTGCTTTCCAGCAACAGGGCAATATTTTGAAGGCAGATACGTTGCAACCTAATTTTGAAAAGCACAGTACTATCACGTAAATGTAGGTTCGCTGTCACACATATCAAATACCGTGGGCGATTTACAAACGGCCTACTTTGATCACGAGCCACATAAACATTATGCATGACCTCCTGTCAGTAACGTTTTAGTATACAAGTCTCAGCTTGTTATTAACACAGGATCAACACCAAAACACCGCAATGCTATCTATCAATAAGCTTGCAAGCATTCAATACCCGGGAAATCCACCAATCCATACCCCACCTACTTACAGCGGTAGAAAAACAAGGGAAACACACTGAGCAAGGTTTGTAAACAATTCGACGACGGCGTTCAAGGTTTCACTATTCAAATGCTGCATGCTGGCGGCATCTAATGACGTCAGCACATAAATGTTTTCTGGTATACTTTACTGACAATTCCTTTCACAACACTGCATTTTCTTCCCATTTTCTATCTACTGATTTAAGACTGAAAACTGACTGATGAGCGGGGGTGGAATAGAAAGAATGAAGAGGGGGGGGGGGGGGGGGGGGGGAAACAAGGGCATGTATTTGCCTCCTCACCATTTTGAGAGGCCTTTGTCTAACCTTTAGTCTTTGTAGCTCACATAGATGATACAAATTTAGATAACGTAGGCTCCATGACTACTAGACGGCACCAAAACGAGCACAGAACGCCATTTTCTGCACAGGTGCTCGCTTTCTAGATCATGGAACCGTCGTGATAAATAAAGCGGTCAATGCTCTAAATCAGGAAGCCAATGCTATTGTAACGAGGCCCTTGCTAGCTCGGGATCGCCCCCGTTATGAACCAGGAGGCGCTGGTTCTTGATGAAGAAGCACTTTGCGTACCACGAGGCCCTTTCCTGGAACAGAAGATCCACTTCATGCATCAAATGGCCGCAGTTCCAGAACAGGATGTCCTGCTTTGAGATGACGAGGCTTTGCTGGATTTGGAGGCCCTCTTATGAATCGGAAGGATATGCTGCTCTGGATATGGATGTCATTCTATGCATCAGCATTGTATGTAATGGCTCCTGCAACTCATCGTCACTCATCACCAGCATTGTTATGCAAAGTGGAAGTGGGCAAACACGATTTTAACGGCGTTACTTTCCTATCGCCGTCATAGACTTGATGTTAAACGTTGCCCCCCCCCCCCCCCGCCACCCCAATCAGACGCCCTTGTCCTACGTATTACACCCTGATAAGCTGGCAGCTTTTGCACCGTCTTCAGTGGGTCAGTTAGCTTCCTACGGCATTCGATGCGCTGACTGACGAGCCGTACCACAACTGCTGTTGGAAGTCAGAGGTCGCTTTATTCGCAGCTGAAGACTCTCCGGGCACTCAACACATGCTTGATGCAACGTATCCCACCAGAGCACGGTTCAGTCGACACGCTTTCCGTGCGCCCTTCCGCCTCGCACAGACATAAAAGCTGGCCGCGTCTGCCGCAATGTCCGCGCTGAACGTTCCCATCTGCCGGAGAAGCGCCACATGTGGTCCCGACGCAGCAGCCCGCCCGTGCGGGGGCCCGTGGCGCACCTGCGGCGATGCTGTGGGTGCCCAGCCTCCCGCTGGTGTTTGCCTTCTATGCACGGGACACGTGCCTCGGCCTCACATGGCTGCTTGGGCTGCCAGGCCGGCCCGGTTTCGTAGCGTGTTGCGGATGCGAGTAAACCGACCGTGGCTGCCGCCTGGTTTACCCGCAGACACACAGCGGAACCGCCGCGCAATGCGGGCTGAGCGTTTTCATTCTGGAAGGCACCTAGCCTTTTCATAAAGGTGTTCCCTGTAGTCAGTCTACACTTCTATTATTATATACCACGACGTGCCGCTGTCATGTTGTGGCTCGCGCACATGGCTCGACAGTATTGCGGCAGTCCAGACGTCACCTTCGATAGCTGGTGGGTAGCCCTCAGCATTCCGCGCGGATACCACTACCTAGCGTATCAGGTGCAGGTACCTGCCTCAAAAGGCGCCCCGGCTGCTGAAGCATTTGGCGGCAGCTGGCCGGCTGGCGGTAGCGAGCTCCGCACTCGCCGCCCCGAGACCGTGCACGGTGGCGCCACCTGGCCAGCCTCTGCGGCTAGCCACGGCCCGGCCAGCCTCATCTCTCCCGGTAATGACGTGTGACCTTTGACGACTCACGGAAAACCGGACGATGAAACTACTGCAGCGGGCTGCTTTTGCATCAGCGCGGACTGGGTGTCTCAAGGCAGTTTTGGACTGGCTGGGATGAGGGGGGGGGGGGGGGCTGTTGATTTGCCATGTACCGGCTGCGTGTTGGCTGGGACCGTGAGCGCATTGCCACAGTCAGCCCCTTCCCTTCAGCTATTGCTACGACCTGCTCACGTGATATCGTCCGCGCTGGAATATCTGTGGATCTCTGGAGGCAACATGTATGGAAACTCATCTTCGCATCACTTCATGTGTATTGTGTATTCCTGTGGCACACGCCCTTCACGATTTGAAACGTAACACTATGCCACAGGACAGATAAGAGGCCACCTGCCCGAGCTAAAAATGCAAAGGAAGCACAATAGTATGAGCCGTTCAGTACTGATGAGACCAATATTGTCATGTATGTATCATGTTCAGTCCTCGTCGTTACGCAGGAGCCCGCATCATCCACATTTAGTATCACGTGTTGACCTCTAGGGTTCACCTCGGCACCTCTGCAGGAAGACGGGCGGCGGAAACGTCTGCTGCAGGCGCTGCTCCACCCGTGGGAGAACTGTCGGCTGGCCATCTGAAAAACGAACAACCACGAGTCGCACAAAACAACGGGACAACATCCAGAGACGCATCGCACTGAACACGGCCGGCCAAAACACGGGTGGGATCCATGTGTCGCTGCCGGAGGCCGTGCGCCTCGCCAGTCGCCTCACTGCCGCACGCAGGGGCTACTGTAGCT